CGTTAAGCTATCAGGTATTCGGCAAAGCTCAAAGGATTCTTTCAAACCATGGGGTTTAGAAGTTCCCAAATGCCAACGGGCAATTTTATGAGAGATGGTCATTAGTTGAAGTGGTTTTTACCAAGTTACTTACCTGTAAGTTGGAATGGGACCACATCCTACTTTGCGGATCCGCTGAATTTAAAGCCGGAACGTTTCTTGTAGCAGCAAATCCAGCATGTTTAGTCTTCACGCACGTTCCATACGAAGACCGTACGTGCCATATTTATCTATTTTGTGGCCGACATCTACCGGGACTATCCTCGGAAGACGAATTAATTCCGTTGTTTTTCGCCTTCGGTCAGTTGTTGTTTTCGTTTTCTACCTTCACAAAAGAATCTGCTTCCGTTGTTTTTAAAAAAAATAGTTTTAACACGAAACCTCCATTTGTTTTACTTGCAACTAGTGCAGATCCACTGGAAATTGTTTGTCAGCCTATGTTTGCCTTTTCTGCCATTGTAGCACAACGATTCCGGCGTTTGGTCGCTCGAATGGAAGGTGGAATTGGTCAGGAAGCAGTCGAACCCGGTAGAACCGTAGTGTTCAGTGTACGGCAGCTCTTTCCAAGTTTATTCTCTTGCGCTATTTTACATGTCCTGGCAGGCTATTCTCTGTGTTTTATTCGTAGAACTGATTGAATTTTTGTGATGAATCGTACCTATTTTTATCCTGAAGCTATGCAAAAGTGGATTTTCTCTCTGTCGATTTGGGAGGTTGAGGGAATAACACCCGGTGCTCGGTGCTTGCTATCAGATTATGACGAGTTTGATCTGCCTTCGCACTGTGTGTTAAGCAAGACTGAGGTATGTTGAACTTTGTACTACCTTCGAAGAACACAGCGATATTCATGGTATTTCTCTTGGTTACCTTCAACCATTGCCGTTCTGGATCTTGTGTTAGACTACGAGTGTCAACTTGGCGTGCTGAAATCCGTTTCCGCATGGACCTGTCACATCGAACAGCGCCGACAGAAACCCGTGCACAGTGGGTGCTATCACTCATGGTTCGCACTGAGCCGTATTCGCATCCGGCTGAACGTCCTGTATCCGGGACCAAGGGAATGAGGCCCGAGGCTGAATATGAGGACCTAGTTCTTCGGTCATCAGCCCGTTCATCTAGTGGCCCATAAGTGCCAACGACTGAATGGTTGGACACCACGCTGCATACAGAGGGGGCGAGGTGGCCTAGTGGTTATAGCTCGAATTCACTGACTGGAAAATCCGTGGTTCGAACCGGACCTGTGCCTCTCGACTTCTGTCTAGGTTTGGTCAGTATCCGTGGGACAGCTCTGTCGGTGTCCTTAGGTTTGGACAACCAAACAGTTAATACTCGTAGCGTATGCAAAAGGCTATCTGGTGATCCTCACTACTCATGAGAGGCGAGATGGCGCAAGTCGTTAGAGTGCGAATTTACTGACCGGAAGGTTCGTGGTTCGAACCCGACCTCTGCCTCTCCACTTCCCCTGTCTAGGCTTGGGCAACCTGGCATTATCTCAGCCCTCGTGCTTCTTTCAGGTGGCATAGCAGCTACGCGCCGAAACGGTGTTACAGCTGAACAGTTTCAGTTTTTTTTACTACTCATGAGACACTCGCTATGCAACATACATCTGCCAGGTGATGTTCGGTTTGGTCAACACAGCGATGACTAGCTAGCCGCGTTTTAGCTCCGGATTATCTAGTGCATTAAGCGCAAGATATGCAGACAAAGCTGGAAACAGCCTATCAGCCGAACCAAACGGTGTCCGTTTCTGATAGACTGGGCACTGAATTAGTAATCAGCCGAACCCGGAATTTGTCCGCATGAAGTTCCGCATTCAACTGTGATTCGACTTCATTCCCTTCACAAGATGGTGATCATTGAAGGTCACTCCGAGGACCATCCCGGGCTTCACACATCGAATTACTCAGCGTTTTAAGCTGTTTTCGTAGATTTTGGCCCAGAATGGCCTATGGAGCTGACGGTCAGTTCCAAAGTCGGCTGCTCTCATCTCCGGGAGGATTTGACCGCCCGCTGGCGAACGATAACGTAATCGAGTCGATGAGGATGGTCACTCTGTAAGTGTTGCCTTATAAAGATATTTTGCTGTTCCAGACAGAATCTGCTGATGATAGCAAGCGCGTGAATAATGCAATCCGAAAAGATTGCATTCATCGATGGTTACAGTCCAGACACCATGGCGTTCGAGAATGCCCACAGGCTACAGAGAGTGATCTTGGTCGACACGTACAATGAGGTCTCTCAGCAGGAGTATCTCATTTTCGGAAATGATCGGAGTAGCTGGATGTGGAAGTTATTTTTGTGATCGTCTGTAGCACATGCACTGACCACAGTCACGTGGATTTAGCCTGTAAGCCACAGATGCAGCGAAGCGCTGTATGCATTAACTTCACCGTGTTGTGTCGCGCACTTTCTCGATGCCAGTAGATAGGGCAAAACCAGAGCCTTGATTCCGCTTATCTCTGGTCTAGTAGAATATGTATTCAGAACCAGCCGTGTTCCGCTGAGAGCAGCAACATAGGTTCTGTGTCGTTGCAAGCGGGGTGACGGGCCTTGTAGGATCTGGCTATCGGATTGATTCGCGGTATTTGGACATTCCACGAGCCAACGGTTGACAGTCTGCTGCGGCCTCCGATGTACCTACAATGGAGTGCAATTTGCGTGGATGGTTTTGTCATTCCTTGGGGGATAGGGTATCACCTCAAGAGTCCGTATTTTACACTTGTCACACAGCCTTAGTTCTTATTAGGAGTAATTTCGGTATTTTTCAATCGCAATAGATTAATCTGGCTTCGGATACGATCAGCCACACTGCGGAGCCAGACCAAACCTTAGGGGTCCCCCTTCCATCCCGAGCAGAAAGACAATGGTGCGTGTTTCAGCTGAAAGTCACACTTGAGCCGCCTTTGATCCCTGTGCAGTAGCAGAGTAACGATTGCCTGGGTATCTGTTCGAACAGCCCATTATGCATGACACTCCACCCAGCGCATATGCCAGGACAGTGGTCATAGTCGGAGAAGTGCAGAGGGCTATCTACCATTTGATTCACAAAACTAGGTGCATCGGTATTCTCGTGACGGATGTCATAGGTTTTTCTGATGCGGCGTTAAGTGTGGGTAGGAGCTAAAGCGTTTTAGACTTTCTTGTCCTGTTCCCATTAGAGTATGGTTGGCTGTCGGCAGACCATACTCGAAGTCGCTAGATGGCTGGATTGATTGGCCCGTCCTGAACAAGGCGAGTGTGTTCCACCACGCGTCACAGGTCTGCGATATCCTGTCCGGATTTATTCTCTTAGAGTCATCCCGGAGGTGCACTGATGGAACGAAATTCGTGCTTTGCAACCATTCAGCTAGTGATGCAGAATACAGGTTGCTTGGTTGCTGTTCACTGAGTTTGGAAGTTGGATTTCAAAAGTTCACTCACTAATCTGGATGACAGAGCGGGATACCCGACATAGGTAGCTAGGTTAGACGGAAAACTAAGGTGGCAATCCAAATCAGAAGCATCAATCGCAAACCACATGGGGCTCGCATAGGCTTCCCTTCTGCGTATGTACCTGACCCAGAGATACCCGCTAGGGTGATCGTTCTTTGTTCGGGGACCTCGCTAGTGAGTTATTTCCCCTCTTCGGATGCTCGGTACTCCAGTGAGTGAAACTAGCCAGGGAATACACTCGCTTGCAAACAGATTTGGTTTTTCGAGAGACTCACCTGAAACCCAGCTGAACCTCTCGTTTATGATGTATTTTAAGGAGTCTCCCGCAAAACCAAATTTGTTTGCAACTGAGTGTATTTCACTAACTTCGTGCAGTTTGGGTTCAAGTAGAACATAAAGTTGACGGGAAATCGGGCACTGCGCCTACCTAATGGGCCCCAAGAAGGGCGAAACCGGTCGTGGGCTGTCGAGGCGTTTTCAGCAGCCTTGTGAGTAGTACCTTTAATTCTGGCAAACAAAGATATATGAGGTCTTAAGCGGGTAGTTAGACTGGAAGTTAACAGTCTTCATGAGATCCAAGCCATTATGGCTCAAATTTCGATCTCCGTCACAAGTTAGTCTGCTATCCTCCGACTGACTCAGGCGTACCACCTTAACTCATCAATGACTGTCATTCAGCAACGCTTCCGAAGGACGACCGTTGGGTCTGCGTGCCGCACATGACCTGATCATTAGAACCCGGGAAACGCAGGCTCTGTTCACTTCCCCAGACCTTAGTTTGACCAAAAAGGAGTGTAACTGTAATCAGTAATGATCTCGCAGGTCACCTTCCTGACTGCACTGGCTTTGAGAAAGCGGGCAAGGTAATTCAGCAGATTACGCACTGGTGTTTCACGATGAGTAACTTAGACACAACAAGGGACGAGCATGAAGCACTGGAAGAAATGAAGTAGATTGTGCTAGTTTCTGGTACAACAATATAGACCAAATGCTAGATTCGTGTGTTGTACGTTGTACGGGCCGGAGAACTTGGCTTACGTCGGTCCGTGCTCAGTCTGTCAGGTTCAAAACCTTTTAAAAAGTCTGCGGTGCTTGGGATTTTTACATGACACCCTTCTCGGAGTAGTAGTCACTCCCTGCTGAATATCTCCAGGCGATCGGGTCTTTTCCTGAATTAAGAGCAGTGCTAAACGAACGTGATCGGGCAGGTTTGTCGTAGACTGTCCTCCAATTAGCATGATTCGGAAAAACTGAACTGAGGAATAATTGAATTTGCGTTATGATCATTGCCGATCCTAATGACTTTCTTCAGAACTCTCACAAGTCGCTGCCCTGAGTTGTGAACATTTTCATCTAAGCCTGTGGCGATTATGCCTTACCAATACATGCACATACATCGGTTAAGTTAAACGAATTCATATCTGCCCAGTCACTGCATTTGCGTAGAGGATGAATGTACATCTCACATTCACGCTTGTGTAAACCACAGTCTATTCTCGATTTACACGCACTGCGTGAGTGTCATGGTGAGGATGAACCAACCCCCATGGGATCTTCGCCTGCAGCGCTTCGGAAGTCCACTATTCGGACAGCCAATTCGTAAATAAGTAACCGCGACACGCATGAAAAAATATGTGCTCAGGACAATTGCATTATAGCTCATCGTGTGCAATTCGAGGCTTGTCTCTCAGGAATTTCCAGACAGAGAATTAACCCCACTGCAAGCACTATTGGATTATGCACAGTCTGTTGGGTTGAAACATATCTGCAACGTTAAAAACCATATCATTATTACGGCTGATGGTTAAAAACTTGTTTTTTTTCTTGTGGAAGATGTCTTGTCTACTAGGAACACACATCGTTGGGGTACACCGAGAACTTGGAATTGGAGATATCAAATAATGCTATTGTATCGGTCCCTTGAGAGCATGCGGTCAAAAGAGCGTACAAGCTTGTTTGGTTAGTCGCTGTTGGCGACAAATTGAGTTTCGTGATAGAATAACGCAGTTCACGAATTGAGCGAGTCAAAAGCTTGTAACTGATCGATAAATAATCAGTCTTGCGAATTTTTGTAAAAAAACTTTAGAAAAAATCTCCAGAAGTTCCTTGGAATTCATTTGAAGGACAGGACATACCTATTGTCTTCACGAGCGTTTTCAATTCCGTACGGCATGAGTTATCCCATAGGTGGAGGTGTATTTTACCACTGAGACTGTTCTAGTACTCCGCCACTTAGCATGCTG